TTCTCTATATTTAATAGAGTACTGAATGGCTGTAGAGAAGTTACTTGGAGTACATTAAAGTTATTACATGAAACTGAGGCCCGCTCGCCGACAAGACGACGCAACAACGACGCGATGATAGAGCTAGCAAAAACTTTTATTCATTTTAATAGTCCGCGAGTGCACTTCACAAAGACATCGCTCGCTGCTCAAAGGATTTGCTTTTATATAAACTGTATGTAGTAATCTCTATGAACAGCATAAAATCTTACTAATATAACATATGCGAACGTTTGAATGTATGTATGGATAGATGGATGTTGAAAGGTATCTCCAGAACCGCTGCATGGATCTCGGTGAAATTTGGCATAGATGTAGTAGTCTAAACCCATAGTTAGTCGTGAAGTTATAGTTAATCTAACCTCATATGGGTTAACTATAAAGTCAGTATCGAAGTTAGAAGTGCTACATAAGCGGCCACTTTGCTCCGGCGCGGGCGGTAACATGTCTATGACAATGTCTCTCTAATTCCCCGCAGCGGCAGCACCGGCGGCAGCGGCAGCGGCAGCACTTGCCAAGCCACGCATATAAACTATTCACTGAATACTCTTGCGGTCTATCCGTAAGTAAATTGTGCAGGACATTGGAATGTCGCCAACTATCACTTTGTTCCACCGCTCACAGAACTAAATCGATTTATACAAGAATTTAAATTAATATTCGAGATGATACCTCTACTTGTTCACATTTATGAATGCCTGGTACTTCATAGGCAACAATTATGCTTACAATTTTTGAGAGGTAAGACATTGTTTTTTACAGTTAAAGAATTAAATTCGTATCCCACTTTGGATTAATTGTACATAGTACAATTGATACTATAAGAGATGTAAATTAGGAATGTCTAATGACAATTTATTGACATGTCATTTAACAGTCTCATGGGTAGGAAATAAACGTCCTTGACTGTATGTTTACTGTCTAAACGTCGTATTAATTTTGTTTCAAGGATGTAACTTTAGTCATTACCTCTTTGTGAAATGAGCCATTGTCGCGAAGTAAAAGTTCCATATAGAAGCGCTAATGCAGGGGAAACTTCGTAAAGCGATTCATAACCATTAAATCATTTAGCGATGGAAAAAGCGGCCGTGTACGTACGGCTACAGTGACGTCACCGAGATCAAAGCGAGTTGCCGACAGCCTCTGTAAGCGCTGCGTCATCGTGATAAACCTTTTTGTCTTAATTCTACAGCTTATATTGTATTTATTTTTAAAAGCAAAATAATGCAACAAAATTACTCATTGAAAATAAAAAAATATACAAAAGTAGCTGTCGCCCGCGAGTCCGTCCGCGCAGGATTAAAATATAGATAGTAGCCAATTCTCAGACCTACTAAATATGCATATAAAATGTCATAAAAATCGATTAAGCCGTTTCGGTGGTATGGATAACTAACATTGTGTCACGAGATTTTTATATATAAGATAGACAATGTTGTATGACGTTGTGACGACTCTTGTCAGTCGGCGCAGATTCAGCAGTAATATTCGTAGTAGTTGACATAAAGGCTATATAATATTTTCTTATGCCGATGAAGTCCAATATGATGTAACATAAAACAGTTTTAGTGGTCCCCTGGAAGCGACGACGTCAAACTTATCTGAGCGCAGTGGCGTAGCGCCGGCAGATAGGCCATGAAGTGCCGCGCGGCCGGACAATAAAAACTTTTATCCCCTTAATGGCTTGTGTCTGACCGACTACTGGTTAGACATCATCCAGTTCTAGCTTCAAATTATAGGATTAGTTCAGTCTTACTACCGTAGTAAGTTATTTTATGGTTACTAAAATAATAACCCCTTAAAGGTATATTATAGAGGAAATTCCTAATGATGGGCTTAGATCCATTTATGCGTGACATAATCAAGTTCACTCGCCGTAAAATGTCAATGATAATTGTAGATAATTATAATATTTCTGCTGTGTAAATAACGTGGCGTTTTATTTGATGCGTTTATTGATTTTATAAACACTGTTTTTGTTTAATCACAGACTATATATTTTGTACTATTAAAGTAATGAACCATACAAACAGTAAGTAAATCTGTATATAAATTTCACAAACACGTTGTCAGAATGTCAAAGCCCGCGCGAGTTAACTCGATAATAATGTACTAAGCTATATGCATAAGTAAATAATATGATTGTCGGGATTGCTGTTGCTGGTGTTGCCACAAAAAATGAAAAGGATTTGCGAGCGGCAATCATTTTCGCTGTATACATAAACTGATTACGCGAGAGTCGAAATAACTTCGTTTGAGCATTTCGGTTTGGAATATGTCTTTTCTAATTTTGTTTGCGAAAACGACGACTTGCTTATTTGCAAAACCATCAAAAAGAATTTCTCAAATAAATCTGCTTATCTTAAACCGTAATGTATGAATATTTTTTTACATTAACCTTTTAAATGAAATTCTTAGCGAGCTTATGTTTTCATTACATCAGCATGCCTCTCTCTCTCTCTCTACTGAATGTAAATCGTCTTTTGTAAAAAATACATACCATTTTTGAATAAGAAAGTATAACGCATTAATCAAAACTTACCCCCTGTCACTCAGGTTCATGTTAATAACAGATTTTAGTAAAAGTCAATTTACTTTTGTAAAGTTTATTAATACTTCCTTCCATCGTGTTACAATTATTTACAAAATACAAAAACAAAATGGTAACCATCGGACAGACGAACGAATGTTCGATAACCCGTCCTGCTTAAACGTACGCTCGTACAAATTATTTGACGAAATTACATTTATAACAATGAATCTACGCATTATTTTAAGGAACATAGCTAGGTTTAATCCATCTATAACTTACTATAGTAACCGGTATCATCTACTTTACAAGTATTAAGGAATGGAAAGGCTTCAAACAGCTCCACTGACTCTCATATGTCTTGTGTTAGCAATAAGTCAATCATTTAAAAACAACTATGTCACCTATGATACCCTGGTAGTAAGAAATCTTTGCAAGAGCAAGACTCTTCAACATTATCTGATGTACAAAATAATCTAAATATTTTATGTAGTTAACCGGAATGTAAAATAATGGAAATGACATCCTTTGATGTATCTTCCTGTAGAATAATAAGTATACAAAGCTTTGCTAACTTAATATTAGCGATATCCAAGCGCTAAATTGAGCTGCCAAAATGAATTTATTCATTTTATTATTGAATATTATTTAGTCTCCGCATTACATTAAAGTTGACACTAAAATGAAATGTATTTGGAAAGGAAATGAAATAAAAACTATTTTTTTTACATTTAAAAATAATCGTTATTTTTTTAAAGATTATAAAATGAGATGAGAGTCAACATAATTATAGTCTTCGTAAGAGTGTTTACATTGAAAACAATTGATAGATTTATTAATATTTTAATATTATTTGTCGTTATTATCTAGATTATATTTAATATGCCTTTTTTCATCAGAAACATGAATATTAAATTATAATCATAACTCATTATAATCAAACTCACTTAAGTAATATTTAATTCACTGCATTCCTAATAAGTTATACTTTTCGATTACTTTTTGGTAACTAAAAATTCTACGTAGAAAGAGAGAATTTTATTTTCATTACAACATTTATAGGATTGCGAAGTTTATAACTTTGGTAATTAGGAAAGACTTTTCTGTTAAAATATTTAAAAGCGCAAAACTTTTTCTCTCGTTTCGACTGTACTACGCAGTTGTACCGTTAATCTGATAACTAGATGTTATAAAAAAATTGCGCAAACTGCTCGAGCGATAAGCATCTCGCGTCATCCCTGAAGGATAGATGTAAGTTAAAGATATCGTCGTATTCTCAGGGCCTTTCATTTAACCCAATTTACTGAGAAAGAGCATCAAGTTACGTCAGTTTACGGGGAACAGTTGCGACGGCGGCGTAATTGTTGCCAACCCTAATTCAGACCGTGTAACTTTGATCGCGTTTTTATGCAAATCGTTTGAGCAAAACGAGACATTCGTACATTGAGCGCGCTTGCTTTGTATTGAGGCATTTTTATATTACGCCCTAATGAAAGGCCTAAATAAACATTACGTTTTCATTACGAAAAAAGGTTTGCTATTTTAAATGTTTAGATTTATAAATTGCCTCACTTTTATGAATAAAATTATAACGAGGAATGTTTTTTCTTAAGTTTATTTATACAACGTGAGCAAGTTATGAAACTTTATTAAATTTTATTTAAACAAATACCAGCCAAATGTTAAAGGAATGTTGGAATAGTGTTCATAGTACACCTATTATTATCTCTATTTTTAGTCTGTGCATGGAATTTCACACGGCTCGTAAATTATTAGAACAAACCATTTTTTTTACTTATTGTTCAAATAATGATCTCTTATAATTGAGCAAACTTAAAATAATTCTTAAAACGTGAGCAAGCTTAAATAAATAGTGAGATGATTCTGATGAAAATAGGTGATTTATTATAAATAACCACTAACATTTGTTCTAGGAACAAAACAAACAATTTTATCACCGAATTCGGTAGAACAAGAACTAGTTTGATAATTAAATGAACGCAAAATTTTAATATTTACATCAATTTAAAATATTTACAATGATTTTTGATTTCAATTTATTCTAATATTACGTATCAGTTATTGTATTTACATAAACTGACAATTTACAATATTTGCAGAAACACTTCATAAATACAACAACATTAAATAATAAATTAAATTAAAAAAAATAAAATATACATTAAATTATTATCACAATCGTAAACAATATTTAAATATTTGATAAGCGTTTTGAATTAAAATATATAATATTAAAAAAAAATATCACAATTTTCAAATAACTATTTAATGCTTTAAAAATGAAATATCAATTTGTTAAATTACTTTACATAACAATAAAATTATATTTATGCATATTTTATAAAATCTTTCCTATTACATACTCGTATATAATAGCTCAGAAAAAGCAGTTGTTTAAAACTTTCATCTTATTACGAATACATCAAATTCTGTTTCGATCAATTTTGTAATCTGTTCGTAATTAATCTTAAATCTAATTTTCACTCGATCACCAAGTCCTTTGTCCTTTTTGTTAATTATAACATGTTTCTAACGATTCTTATTGACTAGTTCATTATTAGAATAAACAGTTTCTGTTCGGAGAAGCAAGAAGCCTTTGTTTCTCTTTTTATCACCACTGTGCATGATTACATCGGGAAACTTCCACATATATCAAAAGGTTCTAATAATTGATTTCTATTGTCTTACGGTCATTACGTTGTTGTTGTGATTAATTTGTAGAGGCTAGAATTGTAGCACTTATTACAATCAAGTAAACAAAAGCTTCTGCTATGTAAAGTGGGGGGTTCAATGCAATCATCTGCAGGTGAGTGAGGAGAGGAGGTAGGTGAGCAGGGCGCAGCTGAGCTGTGACGTCAACAAATACGACGCCGCGCGGTTGCTCGTCTGCATCGCGGCTGGGTGCTCGCCTGTACAACCAAAGTCTCTATTACTTCTTAAACTAACCGATTATGACGGTTTTAAGGTTCAAGTTCCTTGCTGTGAAGATTTACGGTAAAAACAAACCCTTGGGAAAAATTTGCCTAACCTTACCAAGGTCTACAAAGGGTTGCAGAGAAGATGCTTAGAAGAACAAGTTAAATGGTTAGTGTAGCATGTTCTGGCGTAAATACTCACCGTTCAAAACGTGCACTGAAACTGATGCGGGGTGCGCATTATTGGGCACGCATGTGTAGTTGCCGGAATCGGCTAACGCGGCCTTGGTGACCAGCAGTTTGCTGGTGGTACCACCCTCGGTCTTCTCCGTCTCCAGGCTGATGCCGCCGCGCGGCGAATCAAAGTCCACCACCGAGTTTCCATGGTACCTGATTCAGTATATACAAGTTAAGTTTGGTATATTTTCTACTTCTCCTCAAGTGCACATCGAGGATTCCTGTGGTGATTGCACCAAAAATAATTCGTTATTTCATTTTTTAGTATCTTTTTATTTTACTATCCTCGTCATTGCCATTCTATAACGAGAGCGAAGATTTTTTTAACTAAGTTCTTATCAAATCATACGCGATACAAATACATTAATCAAGTTAGCCGCCTCCGTGTCACAATTATGGAAGTCTCACCATAGGACAGAGGCACTGGACGGCGGAGAGGAGTGGACGTTGACAGAGCAGGTCAGCGAGATGGTGCTGCCTTTTTTCACGTAGACGTCCTGAGAGCCCCAGATAGTTGCCGCTGCCGCTGCAACAATACATATTATTTCCAATGAAAACAAGAATTTCATCATAAAGACAAAGTAACAAAGCACTCACGATAACACTGTGTGGTTAACGATTACTTGATTTGATATTTTCTAACTATGAAAAAGCCCGACACCCTTATGATAATCAAAATAATATACACACATAAAACTACTTGATGAAAGAAATTATATTCATTATATTGAGATTAGTTTTCATCATGTTCTAATTATATAAATAAAAACAATTAGCAATTCCGTGGTTTACGTATCGACGTATTTTTACGAAGCGATCAATCGTTCCGGTGAACGAAATTGCTCACTAAATTCACATAAACCGCATTAAGTCAATTTACTTAGGTTTAATTGAATTTAGATCGTACGGTTTTCGTTGTGGACAAATGTGGTCCCGTATATTTATGGGCTTTTACTAATTGTAGCATTACTTATTTACCTTTATACTCGTAGTGTTATCTTTTATTGTTGTTAGTTGGATCTATTAGTTGAGATATTTTAGGTAAGACATACTAAACCCTTCCTTTGTGAATTCATTTATACTATATTAAATGATACGCTTAGTAACAATTATATTATGTTATTAAACATAATATCACCAGGAAATGAAGAACCACATAAAGTAATACTGAATATGAAGCGATAAATCAGGAGAGCATTTTAATGCAAAAAGATATGTAAAACAAAAAGACGACTGGGAATCAACAGGCTTGAAATGTATGAAGGCTAATGAATAAACAAAATATTATAGGAATGGAAAGTACCTGAGGAGCGGGCCGGTGGCGGGCTCGCGGGGGTGTGGGACTCATCTGGAATTCACAAGACAATAGCTTAGGAGAGGAGACGAGGAATATAAACTAGCACATGCCCTGGTGACGGCGACGGCAGCGCACACCGCACACCGCACACCGCACAAGGCACGTCTTGCCAACGCGCACTTACAAATAAAATTTCGAAGACGGAAGTAATTTGATTTACGACAACGTCTTAGTAAATCATTTGCATTAGCATTTGTTTCTGTGTTTTCTTCATCAATTAACAAAAACAGCAACAAAAGGTAAATAAGACCGAATACTGTGTAAAAACAGCCGTCCAATAATCGAAAGTTAATGTTGAATGCGCCGAAGCAATTCTTCTTTATAAAAATCGTAATGTGTAAAATATTTTATGTCCCTCAGAAGATTAATTAAGCAGGATAATGTTTCAAAATTAGTGAATTAATATTTAAAACGTATGTATTTTATTTTATAATAAAATTATTTCTCTTTAATCATCCAGTAAATTAGTTTTATAAAGACATTAAGCTACTGTTGCAGACTTAAATTAAAAATATTTTAAAGTGTTAATGGAAACGTGCAAACAACAACAACAGTAAAATACGAAATAAAACAAGTAAATTTCTATATTTAAAGTTCAGTTAATTACATTTATATTTCAGTTTGAAAATAAGGCATAAGAGATGAAGGAAAAGTTTTTCTATTAGTTAACACAATTAAGCTGATACGGCTGTTTAGAAAGTGTCTAGACTTGATGTTGTTATACTTCTGTAACTAGATAACTTAATGTCATTAAACATTTATTTGCAAAATGTACACTATGAATTATATTTTCACTCTCTACACTACAGATATATCAATAATATAAAATGTAGCCTTAACATTTTCAGTACAAATGTTAATATGAAAGGGACTGAATAGCTGGCGGACGATTTATAGGTTATCATATGAAATATATGTATATCGCGCTTTTGTCGGACATTTTTCAGCGTAACAAGCGCTGTAATTGGCACTGAACAGAATTTGAGAGGGTACATCAGGCGCTGGAGCGTGCTGACAGATTACGGGCATTCTACTGCCTGTGAGGGAGAATTTTTTATGTACTTATACGTCTGCTCACTGTCGTTGATGCAAATTTCATAAAACATACTACGATTATCTATACTACTATTACAAGGATGAAAAATTTGATAGGCTCCGAAACTAATGAACCGATTTAAAAAATTCACTATTTGGAAGCTACACTATTCCCGGGTGACATGGGCTAATACCTATTATTAGTTTTTTAAATGAATTCCGCACTTACAAATTTTTGTAACACAATCTTAAATGGAAAGTAATAAAAAATGTAAATAGATTTTTGAATCGCCAATAGCCTAAAGGTAAATGACCCGGTCTGCAAAACACGAGACGGAAAGTAAATTTGGCTGTACGGCTAATTACTATTTATTATCGATAATTAACTAAAAGTTATGCGCTGTATCTATAGGATGGACATTACGTAAATATAAAAGATATTACTTTGAAATTTCCTTTATCAAGTAGTATACAATTATCAATGAAAATGAGAACGAGCTATAAGTAATCATCGGAGCAGAAGAAATTATACAAAAGGATGAAGCAATTGCGTGAAACTTGAAAGTTTAATCGGTTATTCGACTCAGTTAGTAAGAGTTAGTAAGAGATAACTTTACCGAACGTCCTCCGCGGCCGAGCTTCAAACTTTCATTATTATTCCAAATTGAAACCATACATTCCGCTGATTTATAATACACTGAATTTCCAATGTTTTTTATTAATTGTATTTATAGATATTTTACTTATATTGCAACCTTTTTGCAATTTAGCTGTTTTTCCCTTTATTTTTTTTGCTTTTTTTTGTTAACTTTAATCGAAATCTATTTATAAATAATACTCTACATTAAACTTTATTAATGTTTTTGCTACTTCCTTTAAGGATAATGTTTTCTTAAAAGTCCTGCGATTCGTTCTTGGATCTTTCAAAACATTTCACCTAATTATAAAACAAAGGTTAAAACATCAAAATTTCCATGGTCCTAATTTTCTTTGAACACCCTTTGAATCATTTACTTTGATATTTTCGCTTGAATTATAATGTGCGTCATGATTTTAAAAGACCTGATCTTGTTCACTCCAGAGACAAGGTTTGCCTTTAAGATGCCGTTAAATTATTCACTTTATCGAGCATTTCGGCGGCCTTTTGTGACGTCACGTCTTGTTTATTAAATTTTAAAGCGTCAATTTCATTTTAACGTAAATATTTCAAGAAGCAATTTACAAGTTTATAGCGAAAAGATGTCTTAATTACACTGCGGCCTGGAATTATAATAGTTACTAAAATAAGCTAATATTATATTGTTCAAGATAAAGAAATATCATTGACGAATCGTAATGAGATTAGTAGTCAAACATTGTAAGTAAAACAGTACAGACACAGAAAATCATAAGTAAATTAAACGCAAAAAATTGTTAGGTAGATTGTTCTTCCAACTTAAACATCACTTTCAGAAAATTGTTTTCGTCTTTCATAATTGTATTAACCAAGAAACATCTCATATTGCCTAAGCTTTATCTTTGTAAGCTAACTGAGGATATTCTCGACAGGCTAAACTCGTCATAATTTATGAAGTAATATTTCTAACCGAAATATATTCGCTGCACGCGTCAGCAGTAGTGAGCAGTAGTCGGTAGTAGTCGGCAGCAGTCGGCAGCAGTCGGCAGTAATCGCTCCTGACTTAAACTAATGACGGACGCTTTGTATCGTGGCATTAGCTGCTTCTTATAATATGACAGCAGACGAATGTGAGATTACGTACTCATATTTCCTCGGAGCTTTATAAAAATAACTTGTATGACGCAAGCTATCAGTAAACCGAAGCCGGAAGAGTTAGACAGAATATAAATGAGAAAATGATATGGTCTTGAAACAGTTGATCTATGATCAAGTAATTTCTAACATCTTTCGTTCTTCGGCGATGTCTCCTACGTTGTGGTCAATTGACATTGAGTAAACTGCTTGTTTTGTCTCCCTTTGTCTTCTTTTAACTAATAACAAGTACCTTCAACATTAAGCACGACGGCCATATTGATCTTGGGCTCTGTGTTGATCTGACACTCGTAGACGCCGGCGTCCCGCGGCTGCACGTAGTCCACCTTAAGGTCCCAGTCGTCAGAGGGCTCCGGATGCAGCACGCTGAAGCGCGCGTCCCCCGTGTACGTGAAGATGTGTGACGTCAGAATGTGAAGATCTCGCTTCCTCATCCATGACACCTGCACACAAATGTTATTGTTAAAACATGTTGATTTGCTTTGATTGTTTGTTGTTATTATAAAGTCTAAGTTAAGAAATTATGCGATTAGCTTTTGAAAATGAGATGGAAAAAAATTGTCTCGCTTAGGCGTTACTTAATTTTATTATTTTAAACGTTGTAAAAAGGCTGTGGACGCTCCATCTTGCTTAATTACGGCGCAGGCTTACGCCGGCTCAGAGCGAGCTTACTCTAATTACGCCTAAAAACAAAAACCCAACAAAGGGAAGGGAATTTATTCTCTAATTTCTCAGCCGAAGCTTTAGAATTAAAAATATAATTCCGACGTCCATTGTTGGTGGTATTTTAATCAAAATCCAAGTTCTTAAGGTTTCGTGAAGATGTGAGGTGCTATTTAATTTCAAGTGCTACACAAATTAGGTTGCGTCAGAGCGGGCGGCTCAGTCCAAGCCGCGCCACCACGCCGCCACGCCGCCACGCCGCGCCGTGGATTTGCGGAAAACAAACTTGAACAATTTAATGTTCTTATCCATATTAAAGTTTACTGTTGCATATTTTTTATTTTTATCATTTTTATAATAAAATATTGTACATTATATTTCTACCTTACCAAAATTTACTTTCAGTTACAAAAACGTGACAAGTTTTGGCATTTTGACAGTGGCATCTACATTAACATTTTGTACGATTAGCGCATTGCAATAAAAATATATTATTCACATTTCTTACATCTCTAAGAATATACTAGAATAACAGGAAATATGAAGTGCCTACCGACACTTGGCAAACAATATATCAGAATGCATCGCGAGACATGTCAGTGGGCTATTTATTTGGTGGAATGGGCTGCGGATCCGGCGACCATTAATATAGCGGTCAGCGGAGCGGCGCTGAGTAGGGATATCGGCCCAATAACAGGATCGACACTGAAAAATGATATGCGGGAGAGGTTTGCAGGTGCGGGACTGATAGCGACCTCTGTCGCCCACTCGACAGTACAGTCTACACACTGCCTGTGTAACAGGGAACATATCGTATTCATAATATTCTTCACTGACTTTGTATGAGGTCAATGCGCATTAAATATTATTCCCCAAATTGTTTAAGAACGAAGAATCTGTAATATTGTACTTTCTAATGATTTTAACGTTATAAATACATTCTTGTTTACTTTGTATTCCGTGTGCTCGTCCACTCCACAACTTCCTCGGCCGGTATCCGTTAACGGCTAATTTATTCATAATATTATAACAAAATATCATTTTCTCGACGACGCGGCCTAGTTTTTATTCCAAGGGTGCCCCGGGGACAGCTAAATGTGAACTGGACTCGAGGCTGGGGATAATGGCCAGTTTGTAAATAAATAACAAGTAACAGATGTAGACACTGGCCGCCCCCGCGCCCCGCGCCCCGCGCCCCGCGCCCCGCACTCCTGCAGCCACTTCCCACGCTACGCACGTATTACATTTGAATTTTATTCCAATACTATGAAATTTAGGCCCCGAGAGGCTATGAAAATGTTTATGAAGTTTAGATTTTCTGGTTATTTCAGGTAGCTACGGCGCGATCTAGACTGACGTCGAAATATCCAATTTTCAATCACGCTAACGGCACGGCATTTCCATGAATATGCTAAAATATTCAACCAACGCCGATACACAGCTTTACAGTTTATTTTCTTCTATTTAATAACGACTTAAACTTACATTTTTGACGACTTATTTTCTTTGAATAATTTTACAAAGCACATTAATTATGTTAGGACTTTAGCTCGCCACATCCCAGTTTTCCAAAAACGCTGACAAGATCATTCATCATTTTGTAGGTCCTTGTTTGGCTATATACTCACAGTTCTGTTTCCTATGTGCTTGGCGCGGCATCGCAACACGGCAGACTGTCCCACCACCGCGGACACGTTGCGTGGCGACACGTCGTCAAAGTAGGGCCGCTCGCGACCTTCCGTCAAGCCCGCAGCCCCGCTCCCACTGCTACCACCTGGCACCACACCGACACCTGTACAACACAATCATTTTATAACAAGGCTTTCTTGACCATAACTCTTTTTTGTAACGAGATACTTAAAAGCAAGTCTAAAGTGATGTTGATTTCAACAAAATAACTGTCTTGATTAAAGAATATACATCTTCAAACGTCACAAATAATCGAGTTGGATAATTTTACAACATTTTTCTCTCGTTGCATTTTTGGTGTACGTTGTGTATTTGGAAAAAAATGTTCATTTCTAAAAAATTTCGACTGTACAAAAGCATCGTTATTAGAGTGTCATGACACACTCCGTTCGTTTCCGGCGGGCGCAGGTCGTACTCTCTGCACCGGAAATAAGAACGAAGCCTTTGCCCGCCCATTTACACTGAAGACAAGGGGAGAATGTACGTGTACAGTCGCTACCTCGGCCCACCAAACTAGCGACAATTCTTATTAATTTAACGTATCCTTAATTACAAAATATGTACATTTAAATGTTGTTAAGTCAAGTTTATGATAAGGACATTCATTGAGCCAACTTCTATTAAACGATAAAGACGATATCTATGAATAATAAGCGTAAAATTTTATAATGAGATCATTAAACTTTTTGCAAATATTTACAACGCTCGTAACTGTAATATACGGTGTAATTTGTATAAAACAACGTGCAATTCCATTTCTCTTTTCACTCTGGCAAGCATCAACGAATATTTTCTTTTCTTTAATGAGGCTAATTTAAAATTTTGTAATTTCTGCTGTTTTCGTGGCCACACAAAGTTACAGTTTGCGGGGCACCAAGAAAATGGGAATGACAGCGATGATGTTCTTTTGTGCGGCGAAGCGCGCGAGCCGGGGGGCGGGTGCGCGGTGGTGCGGTGGTGCGGGAGCAGGCTTTGTCTTGTGTATGCTAGCAGTAGCTCCACAGCCTTCTTTACATCGCGACCTAACAACTACAAATGTTATTTGATCTGATGATGTATTTGTCTTTTAATAACTTTGTTGAGTGTTTTTTTTCTACCTTTTCAAGTTTAAACATGAAAATACATGGCTCTTCTTTTAGTATTCAGATATTTTCCTTTTTGAGAACTTGTAGTAAAATCTCCTCGCTAACTTGTAACAAACAGGAAACATAATTTGATGGCATCACACTCCACGTCTTCTATTTCCTTCATTATGTCATTGTGTTGTTAGAAATACAATCCTTATCGAAATGTTCCATTTATTGCGACTACCCATTTCCAGGTATGCGGTACGTGTTAGGTGAAATTTTGACATATTCTTGTTATGAAACAGGAGATATTGCGGGGTCGTTCGTGTAATAATGTGTGGTTTCAAATTACAGGCACGTGTACCACTCCCCGTTATTTATTATTGTTTAACTGTAATATTATATATTGATACTCTATTATGGCTTTCGCTTTATCTTCTTACAATATATTTGTGTACACGACGTCCATGTTAGGCATTATTAGTTACCCAAGGAGTATAAAAAATAATAAAATATCAACTGTGTTTGTGTGGAATGGGTTTTGTATTTAGTTGTCTAGTAAACTCTAAAATTCCATGACTACCAACTATGTAATCAAAATAGATGGCAGCATTTTTTTTAAACAAGGTAAAGTAATAAATGTTTCTTTTACAACCAAATTTGCATTTTGCTATCAGTTTGGCAATTTCTAAACTATCAATTGCGTTTAGCGGCAAGCGATAAATGAACGCTTAAACTTCTAAATAGCCACTAAACATGCAAGCGTCATTATCGAACGTTAAGGTCAACGCCGATTCGTCAACTGCTTGCCTACCAGGCGTCCAACCACCTTACGATGGCCGCATCAACTACTCGTCGCCGCTTCGATATCGCCGACAGGATCGGGATAAGAATAAAAATCTGTGAGCAAAACGTTATCATGCTTACTTGGTTTGGTGGACGTACCGCGGTATGTGAGGCGTTAAATCGTGACCCCGAGAATGCCGTATCGTAGTTTTATTTCTTTATCCCGCAACGATCGGTGCTGGCTGGACGAAATGTAGAGAGGACAATGAGCGTTAACGTTTACACAACCCCAGAAATATATTTTAATTTATTTTTGAATGCTGGCAGCATGCAGCGTAAAGCTTGCAGCGTAAAACGTGCACCGTGAGCTATAGTTTGTTAAGTAGCAATGAAGCTGCAACAGCATCGGGTAAAGTGAAAATAAAAATTCAACGACGTCCGTGACTACAGGCAGTGAGCTCTTTGTTCTGTGCAGTCTCCATTGCGCGCTGCAAACCGGCACCCTTATCGAATCTCCGCTCCCGAGCTTTAATCGATATTAAAGTAGTCGATAGAATGAAAACTAAGTGGGATTTCTTCCTGTAATGACGCTGAGCTTAAGAAGCTCGATGGCCATTTGAAAAGCTAAAGGTATTGAACGAGAACATTTATTGCTTCGTTCTTTTCTCCAGCGAGCCAGCGAGTGTTGCTAATGTTTTATGTATTGTACGTCAGGAATAACGCCACGGTACGTATCTGGAATTAAGTTAAACTTCCGGTACAGCTGCTACTTTAAAATTTACTAAAGAATTTTCCATTTACGACAAGGTATATTAAATTTCCCAGTGTTATATACGACAAAGTACCAGAATGTGCTGAAACAGTAATTGAGCTCGTAACCAAATATGTAAATATAACAATAAACCGTCTGTACAGTTAGCACATTTATCAATGTAGCGTTAATGTAACGTGGCGAATACGCGGCCGGCAGTTAAGTGAGGCGTAACTTAAACGTAGCTCAGCCGTAGCTCAGTCGTAGCGCTGAGTGCGAACACGCGACGTCAGACCTTCTTTCACGTTGTACAGTTATTGAAATAGCGGGCTAACACGAAACGTTGGGGACGTGGAAATGCCGCGTCACAGAATTTAAAATGGCTCCCGGCAATAAATCTTACCACCGCGACGTCCGGGCTCGCCCACGGATAAACTTATTTCGTGTTTCCTATTGCCGCTCAGCTCGCTTACATTACCGGTTTATTTGTACGTCCTGTGTGCACGTTGACACTTCTATTACTGGGATTTTGCTGTTATAATTTAGTGTCTGGATTCAGAATTAGCTCTACAAATATTATATCAAGCGCTTCTAACGTTCATATTGAATTTACTCTGCTTTAATGTAGACATAAATAAATACACCTGTTAGATATCTATTTCTGAATCTCAAATACGCAGAATATAGCAGCGTACTTCACAAATAACGTGCAAACTCCGCTCGATTCGTGATATCGTGAGTCGTGACTAAAGCTTTTAAGCTCAAGTCGATTTAACTGCCGACTAATTCAGAACTATGGCAACCGGTCGCTTGGATACCAACTACATCGATTGCAAATGAATATCGAAAAATGTTCACCACTTTTTTTACGAATAGCCGACTACATTTTTTCAAATAGAATTCAAACTAGACTTTTAAAAACACTAAAATAATCTTATGAAATAAAAACTTAATTTCCGCCGTCTTTTCAAGTATCTACATTTGCAACAGCAATTATTTAGTCTTCTAATATCTTCACGAGGAAATCATTTTCAAAAACTTATCATATCACATATCAGTCTTTTGTTTTGTCATCTATATTACTCTACTAGCTACAACATTTTGCGCCTGATGAACGTTGGACACGTAGCGTGCTACCGCCGCGAACAGAGTACGTGACCCGCGTGCCGTTTGCGTGACACGCGGCGTGCTACGGCCGCGGACAGAGAACGTGACCCGGAGAAATCTGGCGAGTGGCGAGCGAATGCATGTGGACAACGAGCCCTATCGTTGTTACTCACATGATGACCCATTTGGAGAAAAATAAAGAAAAGAATTCACAATATTACTTTGCTTCGTATAACCGAATTGTAAGCCGTTTTGTCTATAAATTTTAAAATAATAAATCGTTTTAAAATAACCACATTTGTATTACAATACACTCATCTATTTCAACGTATTAATATTATAGAATAAATAAACAGTTGGTGTATAAATTTTCAGCTGGTAAGTTACGAGGTAGGCAATTACCGTCTGGCTGCACATAATGTATCCAGGGCTTTACCGTGTCAGCCGGGAGCAGCCGGGAGGAGTCGGGAAGAGTGCGGGGAACTGCAACAAAAAGCTCCCCGTTGCCGGGACTCCTGTTTGTTTTGATTTTATTACTGCCGTTCGGTTCGGAAGAGTGTTGGGAACAAACCGGTTGAGGCTTACCGACTTAATTCCAAAGCGTTGCTTGTATTTAATTTGAAAATATCGTTCCTTTTATATGCTTTTCGTGAAATTCACCATAATTATCGTGAGCTGATTTCAGGGAATTAACTAACTAATTACCTTAAATTATGTTGTTGACGATATATGATTAACAAAACACTTAAAGAGAAAGTTAAATATCGCATTGTTTCTGATATTTTATTAAGTAATTCATAAACGTATTAATATGCGACGCTGCGGGAAGACGACGGGCACGAGGCACGAGTCGGGCACGAAACGGGCAACGCGCATCAAAGGTGTTCAACGGAAGCTTTTATTGCATTCATCTCAATAGAACCGCAAATATTCCGGCTAGAAAAAGGCAATTTCGACTTTTATGAAGCCTTGTTATATTGGCTTTGGGTCGGAATGATAGCGAAGTTATATAAACCTAGTTTTTTTTTCACGAAAAAATTGAATAGAAATGAAAAGTAATTCGCGGGCACAACTTTGCGAATTGAAGTTTTTATTTAGTTTTCATAAATTCTACAAATATTTTACAGATATTATGTTGTATTTTCTATATTTGACACAATAGCTTCAGGAATACTCCAGTCTGAGGGTAGATATAAAATATTGGCTTTACGCGCGTGCGTATATCAATGTAAGGAGGTATTTCGTATCCTTTTACTTTATCGCTTTTCATTTTTTTGTGTAATGCAAAACAAACTTTATTAAATCGAGTCATGCATAAACATTTAGCTGTCTCATTTCAAAGTGAGTTACTTCTGTTGGATTTACATATAGCGGAAAAAATATATTAGCATATGTACGCACGCTCTCTGCCATTCTCTTGAGTTATGAATTTATATATTTTATTCATTTACGATTTCAATGCGTTGTTGCGACCTGTTAAAACACCATGTGAACGTCGCCAGTTTTTAGTTATTTAATTGTATTATTTCCGTATTCAAGGACATGAGATCTAATTTTCAGTAAGACGTTTTTGCTTCTATATTATATGCATTCTAATGAGAGCACACATAATCTGTTTAAAGCTTTCTTACAAAACATCACAAGGATACTATCTTACAATCCATTAGGGACTGACACAACCGCAATAAGATATTTATGATCCCCTGTAACATATCATAAAAGTGCACGCTACAATATAAATGGGCCATTAAGTTAAACGAGGCACAATACGACGTCCCCGTGCGTAGCTGTGTACGGCCGTTAATATGTCAATGTATGACATGCAAGCGCACGTCTCACCCACGCAGCTCACACCCCACTGCCCACGCAGCCCACTGCCCACTGCCCACGCAGCCCACATCCCAATGCCCAAGCAGCCCACTACCCAAGGACACAGCGCAACATTGACTACTAACTTAAATTCTTGTATTCACATGACACTCCTATCTTAACAATATTATAAATGCGAATTTAGATGGATGGATGGATGGATGGATGTTTGTTTAAAGGTATATCAGGAACAGCTTCATGGATCTCGCTGAAATTTGGCATAGTAGTTAAAATAGTCTGGGATAACACATAGGCTATCAATTTTTTTTAAATTTGGCGCGGACAGAGTCGCGGGAGGCCGCTATACAATAAAAATACCACAATCAATACACATGTAATCAATTCATCTCTGTTTTTCAAAGAGAGTAAAAGAGATAACAATATATTATAAAAGTTTCGCGATGGGAGCTCACGATGACTTTAATCTAGGACATCAGTTTGATTTAGTTCAGTGAGAAGCCAGGAGTTACGACATTCAGGTCGCAGCCGCGGGCACGGCTCGTAAACTGAGACATCCCAGTGATAAGTTGTCATATTAGTAGGGTGACAATGTTGAATACGTTTTTAGGACTTTTTATAACATTAAAAACAACATTGTACAATGTAGTGTTCTGTGGTTATAATAATAATCTCGCATTTTTGATACGACATTTTTATTTTAACATTTTAAC